GTAACACTTACTTGGGAAGACAAATGCCATAACTCAAAATGTCTCTCCCAAAATGTCCTCCCCTCCTTCTTCTCCCAGCTTTATATGCTGAGCATAGTGTCATATGGTATGGAATAGCCCTTTGGTCAGTTGGGGTCAGCTGTCCCTCCTGTGTCACCTCTCAGCTTCTTGTGCTGTCTTGATGGTGGGGTGATAGGAGGGGCAGAAAAGGCCTTGACTCTGTGTAAGCACTGCTGAGCAGTAACTAAAACATCAGTGTGCTACCAATACTTTTTTCAGCACAAATCCAAAGCATAGTGCCATACTAGCTACTATGAAGAAAATTTACTCTACCCCAGCTAAAACCAGGAAGGGGATGCTTTTTTAAAGAGGACCTCAAAAAGTCATCTTGCTGAACTGTTTAATTCCAGAGACTGTAAACCTTTATAAAATACAAATTAGGCAAATTATCTCAGGCTTATCCAGTCTTCTGTAGCTTTAACTCCTATTGAGTTAAATAATCATCACTATAAGGTAATTAGGTAATCACCTAATTTATTAAATGATGCTGTTATTTCAAAATCTAATCACAAAATAAATTTCTATAAATTATCATGAAACCCAGGAATGGCAAAGGTTAGTGAAAGACATAGCTGGATCCCGAAGATCTTTCTTGCTTTGGTGTTATTTGTAGGAGCTAGGACTTACCATGGAGACGCATTCTTTTTCATTCCAAAACCTAACAGTATTAAAAATGAATGCATGAGCTTTCTCTCACTGATACTTTAAGTATTGAAGCTCATGCCTGAAGACCTTTTGTCTCTCTAAGGAGGAGCAAGTTGAAGTGGCTAGCTATTGAGAACCTATAAGAAGCAGGTAAATGATATAGTGTCCACAGAAAAAAATGGGTGAATTGCATTTGCTCAGGTTTAGCTTTGATTGCACATACCTGAGAACTACTTGTACAAATCCCTGGGCATTTGGTGTGGGGGGGCATCCAGCAAGACCACCAGAACTGGATTTGCTAGTTGAGAAGTGCCTGTCGGGGTGATGCCAGGCGGTGCGGGCGTGCAGCAGGCCTGGTGGCTGGTTTGTTGTCGTGACAAGCTGTATTGCTTGTGCCTGATATCATCTTGCTCATGGGACAAGCAGTCACTGTGTGAAAAGAAGTCAAAAGTAGTTTTTTATCATTAGGCCGATCTACCTTGGTATTTTGAATAATAAAGGGAGAATCAATATGAGGGAATATAAATAAAAATGCTGTCAGTTCTTTACATGATTTTTACTGATCTGAACACAGGGAAACATTTTAGCTGTCAAATGAAGGTCTATAAGTAAAGGACAAGGAGAGAGCAAGAAATAACATTTTCCCTCAGTGTAAGTCACCCCAGATTGTTTGTGGCAGTCCCAGCATGTCATTTCTTACACCTGCAACTTGGGGGGAAAAAGAAGTCGGGGAATATTTTCTTTCTGCAACACACAGGTTTTTTCCTTTTTTCTCCTCTCAACCCCTTGCCATTGCATAAGAACAGTGGGGTAGGTGGGCACCAACTCTTGGATTAGGTTCTATCTACCCAGTGCAGGGGAGGGAGGATTTCCCTGGTATGGGGACTTGAGAAAGGTAGCTAGTAAGTCTCCCATTGTGGATGCAGTGATTTCAGCCATTCTGCCTTCATGAAAAGACCAAAATTGGGAAGATGGGGCAGGCACTCTTTTGGATGCAATTCGCTTGTTCCACACAGATGCCACCTTCTGTAGAGGAGATGAGGTTTATCTACAGAAGATAAAGTGCAGAAAACCCCTATAGCATTTCAGGGCAGCATTCAGCAAAGCACTTCAGTGTGTTAAATTTTTATTAATTTCCTAACTTCTAAAAGCCTTGGGATGTTAGCAGAAGGGCACACCCAAATAAGGGGTTGCAGACAGACCTGAGTGGAGCCTGCCTTTGCTCTGAGCTGGCAGTTCCCAGGCCAGCCCTGAAGCAGGAGCTGCACAGCTCAGTAATGAGCTACTGCGTCTGGCTCAGAGGCATCTAATGAAATACGTACTATATAAAAGGATAAGGCCATCTAGTGCATGATATTAGGCATAAATGATTTTCCTGTTCTATTGTATCCCTCAAATACTTATGAATGGCTCTATGGGGTTTATATTTATAATTAAGCACTGGTATGTTGTCCATTGTCTCTTTTCCTCCTCTCTGTACTCTTCTTCCCATGTTGTCATACTGCTCTCCTCTTAAAGTTTAGAAACCCCCTCTATATGTTTGTATTTGTCATTGCAGGTCACTGAACAATGAGTTTGTGTCTTAGAAGGTGTCAAGGATTCCTGTGTAGCTGAGTGCAGGAAACCCAGTTGCCTGTCAGCTCTGGCATCTCTCACTGTCCATTTTAAGACTTGTTGATGCACTCAGTAAGAGTGTAGTGCCTCTTCCTACATTGGGCCAGTTAGTCTGGGCTTGTTCTAGTGGTGATGAGAGAATCCTGTACTGTGGCACTGGACTGACCACATATCTGTGGTGAAGTTGGTCTGCACATGGTGTGTGAGCCTGGTATTTTCCAAGCGTGGGCATGCTGAGCACATGCTACCCAGCCATCTGCTTAGGGAGTTCCTCTGGCTCCTGGGATGGAGATCTTACTGGGGGTTGGCTGCTGCCAGATGATTTATTCAGCCTGCTGCTCTCTCCAGAGGAAACCTCAGGGAAGGTAGTAGCTACAGGTAGGCTGTAGGACACACTGTCACAGAGGCCATGTTGTTACACATCCTTGCATCCTAAGGATCTCACAGCCTTGGAGTTCAGCTGCATCCTGAGCTGTCTAACCCCTTGAGTAGTTAGCCCAGAATGGGGAGAACCTTGGGCTCCTTTGTTCACATCGTCTTGATCCAACTGTCCCAGCACCCTGGTTGCACTCTGTGGGGTCCCTGTAGCAGCTGCAGTGCCTCTAGGCAGGGTCTTTTACTGTACTAGATTCAGGCATCAGCAGGAGTAGTAATGGGCAACTCCACGCTTCCAGCAGGTTTTTTCTGTTAGACATTGCTGGTACCAGGTCTGTGTGCCTAGGCTCAGCATGCAGGTCCCCGCTCCATCTTGGCGCCAGGAGTTTTTGTTCTATATGGAGAAACTGTCTCCCCCTCCTCTTCTTGCTCTCCTGCCTTAAGGGAGGTGAGCCCTACAATGAGAGTCGTGTCCATTTCCACATTGGAAACTCTCTTTCATAAGGAAGTTAAAGTAACATAAGCGGTGGTGGTAGATTGAATTCCTTTCTGGGTTGGGTCATTGTTTTTTCCTTTTTTCCTCTCTTCTGAGCCTGAACACATGAAAGGAGAGACAAAGATTGTTGCACGAAGCATAAAGCTACACGCTATGGTATTTTTCAAACCATTACTCAGGAATCTGCTGTTGGGCTGTATATGGCCTGTAGTTCATGGGCAGTTAATTGAGCACTTTAGCTTTGACTAGTATCTTTTACTTAACAATTACAACAGGTTTGGAGCCTGCTGGGTCAGCTGCTGATAACCCAAATGTCTGTAATTGTGCAAATATACCCTCAGATATTTCAAAATGAGGGTATCTGGGTGATGGAGGGTGGAAAGGAAGGTGGGTACAAGTATGTATATATACAGTTACAATTTTTCTATTGACAAAACCTTGCATAGGCACTGAAACACACGAATCTACATAAAATTTGTCTTTTGTATCAGGCCTTTGCAAATGGGGATGCTTGCAAAGGGAAGTTGTAAATAATTGCAGATGTCAGCCTCCCTCTCTCTGCTCTCTAAAGCTACAGAAGAGAAGTGATTGACCAGCTTTGTTATTCAAAGCATTTCCCTTAACAGCTGAATCCTGTGGGAGATTCCTCTTAGAGCAGCTTTCCTCTGCGGTGGACTCTCCTGACAAGATCACAGACTGCTTTTGGTCTCTGAGTGTCCTGATGAACATCTAGTTATGTCTATTTTTACATCTGAAATATGTTGAAAGATGCTGTGCATAGAAGAAGCAGTACAGTGAGAGCTGACAGTACTCTGCACAGGGTAATGCTTTTGGGGACACCGTGCATTTTCCTTCTTGTTTCTGAAATTTCTTGTGTCTGTAAAAACATAAAAATTGAATTAGCCCTAAGAAGATAGTCATTACCATACAACGTTTTGATTTTTCTCTTTTTGCACCAAGACTGAAATTATGTGCTTTGTAGCTGCTCTGATGTGTCCTTTTCAGCTTTGAAATTTTCCAATAAGATAAAACCATTGTGGTAGTTACTGCTACTCTAAACAATTAATTGAGAAGAAAAATGACGACACATATATGTTCTTCATCCTTCTATTCTGCCCTGAGTGCTGATAACAGTGTCAGGACAGCCTTTTAAGGCATGAGAGAGAAAATACTTTGGCCTGAGAGGGTGGTTGGGGAAGTGGTTGAAAAGGGGAACTGGTGGCTGAAACCTCACCTGCTTAAATAGAGCTTATGGTGGCAATTGGGCAAGTGACAGTTTTGACCAGAATGTACCTGGGTTTAGAGTGACTGTCACTTCACTGAGATCACAGACATCAGGTTTCGTTGCAAACTGTTTTGGCTCTGGTATGTAGTGGGGATCCTGGCTGGCAGGTCAGCTTCATTGGACCTGCTGACTGTGCTGATGTGGCCTCGTCCCAGGTTGGGGGGTGAAGGGTACCTGTTCAGCAGTGTTCAGTGAGTGCTGAAGTGTCCCCTGTTGTCTGTGCACATTGCCACGTGCTCATAGCTGCAACTGGCTTGCTGTGTCCTTACAGTCTGTGAGCTGGGTGCTGGGGATGGCATCTTAGCACTTGCACAATGGACCGAGCTTGACTTGCTTGGGTGCAGAGCTGCTGTTTGCTCTAGTTTTGGAAAATGAGGGGTGGGATATTACATGTTTATCACCTTTCTCTAGGTGGAGACAGCCAGTCCTTAGAAGCTGACTGCTCCTGAAAGTTGTGGTATTTGAGGTAGGATGGTGATGTGATCTATTAATTTTTGTCTTTTGTTGTGTTTTTCTGCATTCCAGGAAGGGTGCTTGTGGCCTTCAGAAAGCTCGGTTTCGCGCCAGGGTGCTTCAGAGGTACATTCAGATTTCTTATTATCTTCACCAATGTGCTTTCCTCTTTCCTGTTGTGTATATTTGGCTCCTCTCAGAAACATGCATCTATTGAGTAAATAAAGCTTTTTCAGTGTAGACCAAGAGCCAGGTTCATGTGGACATCTGAGCCTGCCTTCACTCCCATTCCATAAATGCTTAAGACTTTTCCCTTAAAAGAATGAAATTCTACCTACCCGACACCTCATCTCTGTCCGCAGCTCCCTGTGTCATAGTAGGCATTCACAGGTAAGTGGTGGAAGTGTCTCTCTCATGCAGTGGCTCAGTAATTTGAGTATTAAGTGGAATCTGTGAGACCAGTTGCTCTTCTCCCTGTGTTTTTCCTGGATTTACAACACATCCTATTGCCAGTGTCTCCTGTCTTCCAGCTAGCACAGATCCCTGGTCTGAGGGATAATTTGTGGGTGTGTTGCTCCAAGTGGCTCAGCTCACCTGTGTCAAAAAGTGAATCTTCCTGATGGCTGATCTTGCATCTGTGAGGGTCAGGAGCTAAAGACCCTGCACCGACCCAAAAATGAGAAGAGCAGTTCCATAGATCTAGATCTAAGAAGCTGGCATGTCTCTCTAGATAGACCAAGTGAGGAGCAATAGCTTCTCACAGAGTCTTCTGAACTCTTCCTCTTGTAAAGCCTGACCTTCTCCAGGGCTTAATATGCCAGGGACATTTTTTCCCACTCTCTGTGCAGAAGCCTTGCAGGTCCTCCCTGAAGGCTGAGTTCTGGCTGAGACCTGAGGTGGAGGAGGACACCTGATACACTCTGGTAGTGAAGGCGTGAGATATGCCAGGCCTTTACAGAATGTACTAAAATGACCATCTGAATTGTTTGGTGCTGTAGGGTTTTACACTAACTCTGAGTAGGAGGGGGATGCTCATACTGCAGCTGAAATTCAGTATTCAGACATTTTCGTAGAACTAGTTAATTGTCAAGACTAGAGGGAAAGTGTTTCCTATGTACAGAAACAGAATTGTTTTCTCTCAGCTCTGCATGAGGAAGCTGCGTGAGGTCTTGGTCTTCCTTTGTGGAGCTGTTCTCAAGTATCTTGTGTTAGATCCTTCCTGCAACTCCTACCTCTTCTTTTCACATGCATGTGTGTGGGAGCACGTGTGCACAGTGTCTGCTGGGTTTAATCTTTCACGATGGGTGGCAAAGAGAAGTATCTTCTGTTTTGTCAGTTCTTCATAAATACAGAGCACCCACAGTGCTTTGCTCAAACGTGGAGTCACATTTCTCTCTTCCCATTTCAGATCATGTATGCTCCAAGGTCCAGGGACAGGTTTACTGCCCCGTCTTTTATGCAGCGGGACCGTTTCAGTCGCTTCCAGCCCACTTACCCTTACATGCAGCATGAGATTGACCTTCCTCCAACCATCTCCCTCTCTGACGGGGAAGAGCCACCGCCGTACCAAGGCCCGTGCACCCTGCAGCTCCGGGACCCAGAACAGCAGATGGAGCTCAACCGGGAATCTGTCAGGGCACCACCCAACCGAACCATTTTTGATAGCGACTTGATAGACATCTCAATGTACAATGGGGGCCCCTGCCCACCAAGCAGCAATTCGGGCATAAGTGCAACCAACTATAGCAGTAATGGAAGGATGGAAGGACCACCCCCGACGTACAGCGAGGTCATGGGCCATTACCCAGGCTCCTCTTTTTTCCATCACCAGCACAGCAACGCGCCTCCTTCCTCACAGAGGGGGAGCAGACTTCAGTTTCAGCAGAACAATTCAGAGAGCACAATAGTCCCCAGCAAAGGCCAAGACCGGAAACCAGGAAACCTGGTCTAAAGTTACTCGCCCAGGTGCATTTGAACTGAAGACAAGAGATTGAAGCAGAGCGGTGGAGGAAGACCCCCATGCTCCGGTGCACAATGTTGTTACGTTTCACGTGGTACAACTTAGTAAAACCAAACGTGCAAACCAGTTCTTTGTTTCTGATTCCTTTCAGGGGAATTGCATGCAAAGCAGATTGAAAGAAATACAAACTTCCATTCGGTTTGTCTACGAGCAGTGTTTCAGGGGAGAGGGGGGGATATATTATTTTTTTTTAATAAACTATTTCAATTATTTAATTGTAAAAGTTAACTTAGCACAGAAATGAGGCTTGTACAGCCTGTTTTATACTCACTGAATGGCAGAAGGAAGAAGGTGGTTTTGCTAGATAAATGGGGGAAGAATTGGCCAGTTTGCTTTTTTTTTTCTCCCAGGGTGTGGATTTTTTTTTAATATGAAACAAAATTCCTGTTTTGTGTGCCAAGGTATAAAGTTGAGAACTTAGATGAATGCAAGGAATTAATTTGTGTTGTGATAAATGTGTTTTAAAAAGTTGCACTATCTTAATGTTTAAAAAAAATATATATGAGGGAACTGTTTTATGTGAAGTTCTTCTATATGTTGTCTTTTCACCTGTGGAATAATGATAGAGCCCCAGAAGTAATCTGGAGGAGTTTGCCCCCCTCCCCCCGGGTTTGCTAGAAAAAGGGGACAGGACTTAGCCTAACATCTCTTGACTTTTACAAATCAAGAAATACAGGGACACTCGTCTTTGCAATAATTTGCATTCAAATAACAGTGCATCAGTGAAGTGTCTTGGAGGCTTTTGGATGGAAGACAGCAAATACGAAATCCCAGCATTTTCCACCACTTAGGGTTTAGCTGTTTTGCAGTGTAGACTATTTGTTTTGTAAATGGCAAAACAAAATCCCAGATGTGTTAATTTGTATTGATTCTAACTAAGCGCTGCCATTCTTTTCCTTTTCATAATGCAGTATTGCCAGTACTGACAGTTTTAGAGATTTTTTTTGTTCTCACTGTCGCCTGAAATGTATTTAGTCACATATCATGACATTATGCAATAAATTGTTTAAAAATGCAAGGTGGGTTTTTTTCCCCTGCAATGCTGTTAAAATACGTGAGACTCTTGTGCTTTTCACTTTCCATTTCATCCTTAAGATACTGAAGTTCAGCCCTGGAGATGCATCCTGTTGAAGTGAAGGGACCTTTGTAGCTATAACCCCCCATGCAGTTTCCGCAGCAGTACCGAGAGCGCTCATGACAGAGGTGCTGGTGTCTGCGGCATCCCTGGCAGTGATGTGGGAGCACCAGTTATTCTCACTGCAAACCATTTTGCTCTGGGCCCTGTTGTGGAAACCCTCCTCCGTGCATGTCATCCAGCTGATGCCAGCAGGACTGTGCTCATGGGTAAAGATGACTCGCGTGTTAACTAAGTGTCTGTAAGCCCTAGTTTTGCCATGCTGGTCTTAAGAGTAGTTGGAAAATGTTACCTGCCTGCAAAGTGGCACCTGGGGTATTTCTTCCCTGGCTCTTTCTGTGTGGAAGCACACACAGCGCTGGAATGCAGTTGGCAAATGGTGATAGTGGCATCACAAGCACATGAAAAAGCACAACTTGCACTTAAAATGCATTTTGGAAATGGACTTAAAGTAAGAACCTTTAGAGTCTTAGCTTGAATAGTTTCTAATATATATGCGTATAAGTGTGTTGCAGACCTTTTCACTTTGAGATCTTTCACTTTTTTCTATTTTCTTAAGCCTTGTGCTTGGTTATGGGCAGCAGCCACTGAGTGCCCTGAGGGCGCTGTGGAGGATTGCGGTGCCCTAGCACCCATGGTCCCATGGCTGGAGGCTGGATTTCTGCAGGACTTCTGTACATTGGGGGCTCTGATAACTGAAGTGCATCTTTGATCTATGCAGAGTTTTAATGCCAAAACAGTATGCGTGTCTGTGTGTTTGTGTTATGGGCCTCAGTGTAGATTATTTTCTTCATAAGGTAATTTGGTTTTATTCTAGTTTAGAACATGTTTGTGTAACTGTTAGTCTGAATATGCAGCCTCATTTGTCTCCGTAATTGTTTTTTTTGGTCTGAGTCACGCTGGTGATGCAGAGCAAAGCTGCCTTTTAATTTTATGTGTTATTTGAAAGGAGAGAGAGAGATTGTGTGATGGGATTCATTTATTTTTTTTTTCCACTCAGACTCAGAGGAGAGATGTTTAGGAGATGACTAGGTGGCTATCAGTCAGCTAGGGCGCTAGTCATGTCTGGTTTCTGGGAATAAAAGCTGTGAAATCAGATTTTGGGAAACAACCTATGAACATATTTCTTAGTTTTTAAAAAACCTAAACAAACAGAAGAAAAACCCAGCAAATGTTGGGTTTGTCCTTCAGTGACTCTTGTTGTCCTTCAGAAGTGAGCTTTTAAGTCAGAATGTGTGTGCCTACACAGACAATTTGCTGTTGCCTAAATGAGGATTATTTAGCCGAGAAGCCTTTAGGTAAGAACAGCTGAACTCAGTTGTCATGGCAGAGCACACCTGGACTTGGCCCTGGGCTTGGACTGGTTGAGTACCAACTTTTCCCCATGCACGGATCTCAGCAAAGTGAGCCTTGAAGGTGCCTTCAAAGTCACCTCCTGGGAACGTGATTTCTTTAAAGACAGCCCTTTGCCATCTTTTGTCATCACTGCATGCGGGTGGGTTTATGCACTTCCCATTAACATTGTCCAGTATGATGCGTGTGCTGTTGTCTCTTAATTTTTTCTTTGTGTGGAAAATGTAACCTGTTCCAGTTCCGTAGAAAAGATTTGTTTAAAAAGAACTTAGTGTTTGCTCACCTAATGGCTGCGTTTCCTCTTGCATCTTTGCTTTCTCATCATATTCTGCTGTCCTTCTAATGTGCAGCCAGTATACTTGTCAGCTCTCAAAGCGTAGTCATCTGTTGCTTGCTGTAGGTGAGCTTGCAATCTGCTGCTTTTGGTTTGGGGCCTCTTATAGGAGTAAATATGGTATTTTTGGATTAATATTAGTGATCTCTGATGGATGTGCATCCAACAGTGTAATGTTGCAACAGTGTGTGTTTTTCTATTTTTTCTTTTGTTGCAGTGAGAGAGAATATGCCCTCGCTAACAGAACAGAATGGTAAAAGGAGTATCAGAATTAGATAGCACTATCTGTCTTTACAGGCTTAGAAATGGTGATCTCTGAATGTAGGTAATTCTGTGAAGCATTTATGGAAAACTCCCTTTGAAAATATCAAGAATTAATAAACTGTGTTGCACAGCCACTCAAGTGAAGCTTTGTACAATGTTTGCAGAAATCTTTTATAATTTAATCATGTAGGTTATACCTCCATCATGGTGCTTTGGTTTATGTGTCATGCACAAAACCCATGTAATACATGTGTGGAGTTTTCTGTGTGATGGATCATATTAGCCTGAATTCTGGTTGCATCTCCTGATCTCTGCCCAGTAACACATCTTTTCAAAACTCAGTCCAGTCATGCCCCCACTTTAAAAATTTTCAAGTTAAAAGATTTTTTTTTTTAATGTACCTTTAAGAAGTAAAGCATTATGACCTCCATCCTACCGCAAAGGTTAATTTTTCCCTTATGTGGCTTGGCACGGTTCCCTTCTTGGTGCTAAATATGCCCCATCTTTGGTGTTTTCCTATGATCTTGCAGGGGTAGAAAAGACAGGCATTTAGACATAGAAAAGAGGTTTCTTGCCCAGTTTCCCAATGGAGCATTCGGCACTTCGCTCTAATTCTGGAGGTACATTTAGCCTGATTGTGGCTGGGTTCATCTCAGTGCTGTACAAGCCAGCTCTTCATGTGTGAAGCTGCTTTAAAGCTGTGAGTGAGGAATATGAGGACTAGTACCCAGTCAACGGAGCAGTGTTTAGACCTCTTTCCTGTAGCATGTGGCACATGCAGAATTCACGGTACTTTGTGGAATAGGTTGTTTATGTCAGGGAGGACCTACTTAAGCTACTGATGAACTCTGCACTTAACACAGTCCCAGTGTGATGTCACTTTATTACAGCATGCTTTTTCCTTCTGAGTAGGAAAACTCAGACACATGTCCCATGTACAAGTTCTTGATGGCTAGCAAGGAACGTATTTATGTTCCTGCAGTCGTGGGTTCTGCAGGAACCATGGGGCAAGCTGTGCTTCATTTGCCTTTTTATTATTGCTTCCCAACTTCTGCCAACAATTTTTCCCAACTGGAAGCTGCTTCTATTATCTCAGAATTGTCCTGAATAATGTCATAATGAATAAATCGTGAATTTTTGTGTTGCAAAAATACTAAAAAAAAAAAAAAAAGTGTTGCCGACTTCCCCCCTTGTGAATGTGATTTAGGGAAGGGCAAGGAGTGAAATGACATTGTTTCTGAAAGAATGCACTTTCTTTGCAATAGGGAAGAAAGCCTTTTCCCACTGGAGAGTCCCATGCATAGGCTGTCTGGAACAGCGCTGTCTGAAGCAGTTGTTTCTAACCCTGCCAGGTAGTGAGATATTGGACCTTCAAACTGACACTCTGATCTGTAAGGAATGTTTGAATGGTTTGAAGAAGATTGATTACTAACCTTTCTCTGACTCTGAGCCCTGAACGCTCGTGGTAACTAAGGTAACCCGATTTCATAGGCAAAGAAAAAGAAAATAGTATGCTGGTAAAAATAGATATGCACCAAAATTGTTCTTTGCTTTTTTTTTTCTTTGCCTTTTTTTTTTTTTCCTCCTTCCCCCAAGGATAAACAACAGGCTTGCTGGTACATTTGAAGGTATTTAGGTGTTTATTGAAGTTCTCTCTGGTCGTTACCATTAAGTCATGTCCATGCACGTGTGTGTATGCATGCCTGCATACAAACTTGTCTGTATCCTACCCCTTGATTATCTATATATTAGTTACTATTCCATAAACTCCTTCTAGAAATGCTAAATGGCTGTGTATGGTGCTCTCAGGAACACTGACAGGTCATTTGTCAAACAGCTGGAGGCATGAGGAATATTTGCTTTTCAGTCCTGTAAATGTCATGGTCCTTTTTTCATCAGTAGGGGAGTTTCTTGCTGGGCAAATTCTTGCCCGTGAGCTGGTGCACTAGCGCATCTTCCATCCAACAGCTCTCTCCTTTT